TGGGCGGTGGTGGGGGTCGAAATCGGCGGGGTGGGGGCAGCATGCGCGCGCCGCCTTCACCCCCAATCCGCTGATTTCAACCCCCACCACCGCTCAGCACGGCCTCCCGACGTTCTTTTGTTTCTCCCGTTCTGTCGCTGACTTCCGGTCTGGGTTTTCTCCGAAGTACCCCACTACTGCAAGAAATCGTGTACCGTCGACGGGGGTAACTTGGGACACTTTTTCACGGTTATTGAACGCCAGAGGCAAGATTCTCAACCCAGACCATTGGATCCTTTCTATGTAAAAGTTTGACCCTTTCCCCATGATTTGATGCTTGTCTGATTCATTTGCCTCGATTATATCGTTTACAAGCGGTCTCGAAAGAGTGTCCCAAGTTACCCCATGACCGGGGGTAACTTGGGACAGTAGGTAACTAGCTACATTCCCATTCATCTATTGATGTTAATGGATGTCATAAATTTAAGTCACAACATGTAGACCAAGAATTGAGGCCTAGGAACTCTTGTAGGACCGATATCGGACTCTATCTAGGGCTCTTCGTGAAACTTTCTTTTCTACTGGTATTTTTCAGGCATTTTCTGAAAATTTCAAAATATGGATTACCAGAAGACAAAACTGCAGAGCAAGGCATCTCTTTCCAAAATCAGCGTAAAATCCGAAGTCTAACTTATGTCAGGGACCGGGTCAGTCAATTCCTGGGAGGCTAGGACTGCTGGAAACATGAGGAAGATACTGTCCCAAGTTACCCCGTGAAATTTCGATTTTTGATAAAGTGAAGTCTGGGCCGAAGATAGGAAAACTTATCAACGCCTTTTTGAGAACGTTATTGGTTGTGTATGATCTAACAATCTAGAGAGACTAGTCCTTGCACTAGGGTCAACTTGTCAATGTTTGACATATTATGTCAAAAACCCTATTATGTAGTTTCCCGTTTCTCAAATACTAATTGTGATGTTATTCATTCCATCTTTCCGCGCGTGCCCTGAACCCTCTGAAACAAAACCCTGCCGCGGGTTTGACGCTAGGAACCCCCGTCGCTGAATGGCAGCACCAACAAGCTGTACAGGGCAGACTGTCCCAAGTTACCCCCGTTGACGGTACAGACTATTCTGCATTACGCGGTATAACGGAGATATTACACATGTATTATTCGGCCTTAAAATGTCAAAAGTTTGTATATTTAACCCGACAATGGTATTACCATCACGTGTATTGCGCGTAATACACGACTTTTGTGTAACTTACAGGGTGTTATGCGAATGTGTACCTTAGGGTGGCCCAAAAAAAAATCGAACGTTTTCCGATTGTCCAATTCCGCTCAAAAATCGATTCTAGACCGAAAAAAAATAACCCCTATTTTTTGCGTTTTGTCCTGAGACGATTTTGAATACCGGCTCAAAAGCAAAAATGGTTTTTAACCCGTTTTAAGCACCAAAATTGTCATAACAATTACAGTTTTTATCGGATTTTCAAAAACGATACGGCAAAATGTTTGGTTTTAGACGGCGAACAAATTACATTTTCACCATTTTTTTGTCAGACTTCGTCTTCAGTATTCTGCTTGCGATTTTCGCTCAAAAAGACACAAATTGTTCACTATTTGGATATAATTTTCTTGTTTCGGACGGCCGAGATGGGTCCCTATCCACTTTTTTTATCTTACCCTATCCCAAAACAAACCGATTACGTGAAATGTAGGCGTGAAAATCAATTTGCCTACCACCTAGGGGCAATCATTTCGTTGTTTTCAGTATAAAGAAAAGTCTGTTGAGCTCTGAGGCTGCAATTTTCCTCCGATCCCCAAACCCGCGATGTCATTTTGTTCAGTTTTTTAAGACAAATAAAAAAGATTCTGGTCATTTTTTTGTCAGACTGCGTTTTAAGGTCCGTTTCTGCTTGTAACGTGCAAAAATCGCCCAAAATCGAATTTGTTGCCCACTTTTGGACCGTTTTTCTCGTCAGCGATCCACGTGACCAGCCGATGATCACTCTTTCACCTTCCCTAGCCTTTCTGGAATGGCTGGAATTAAGAAGAGCCAGGTCCTAGACACAAACGAACAGGTCCAGGCAGGATTTGGCGGGGATAGAATTTTTCTTCAAAGGTAAATAAGGCCAGCCCGGACGGTTTTGGGCTCGTGTGAAAAGTTCAGCAAAAGTGGGAGTGTTGCAACAGCTTTTGTCCAGTTCTGACCGGTATGGAGAAGTTGTGACAGGTTTGGACAAGAAAAACGGTCCAAAAGTGGGCAGAAATTCGAATTTGGACGATTTTTGCACGTTACAAGCAAAAAACCCGCCAAATCTTGCCTGGACCTGTTCGTTCGTGTCTAGGACCTGGCTCTTCTTAATTCCAGCCATTTCAGAAAGGCTAGGGAAGGTGAAAGAGTGATCATCGGCTGGTCACGTGGATCGCTGACGAGAAAAACGGTCCAAAAGTGGGCAACAAATTCGATTTTGGGCGATTTTTGCACGTTACAAGCAGAAACGGACCTTAAAACGCAGTCTGACAAAAAAATTACCAGAATCTTTTTTATTTGTCTTAAAAAACTGAACAAAATGGCATCTCGGGTTTGAGGATCGGAGGAAAATTGCGGCCTCAGAGCTCAACAGTCTTTTCTTTATACTGAAAACAACGAAATGCTTGCCCCTGGATGGTAGGCAAATTGATTTGCACGCCTATATTTCACGTAATCGGTTTGTTTTGGGATAGGGTAAGATAAAAAAGTGGATAGAGACCCATCTCGGCCGTCCGAAACAAGAAAATTATATCCAAAAAGTGAACAATATGTGTCTTTTTGAGCGAAAATCGCAAGCAGAATACTGAAGACGAAGTCTGACAAAAAAATGGTGAAAATGTAATTTGTTCGCCGTCTAAAACCGAACATTTTGCCGTATCGTTTTTGAAAATCCGATAAAAACTGTAATTGTTATGACAATTTTGGTGCTAAAAACGGGTTAAAAACCATTTTTGCTTTTGAGCCGGTATTCAAAATCGTCTCAGGACAAAACGCAAAAAATAGGGGTTATTTTTTTTCGGTCTAGAATCGATTTTTGAGCGGAATTGGACAATCGGAAAACGTTCGATTTTTTTTGGGCCACCCTAGTGTACCTCCTTGAAGAGTTAAAGGTCTCGCCGAAACATAACATAACATGAGAGTAACGCCATTTCCTGTTCAGTTATTGTGTGAGGGACATACATTCTTAAACGTTTCTTTGATGTGTGGAGCAATACTACACTTTGACATGGCAGCGACCAGTCATCGTTTTACCGACACAGTTCCAGGCATTGACCACAGAACTCAAGTGTCTCTTCGTTCAGCACCGACATCTTTTTTCCCCAAGTGCGGAAAAGGAGGTAAGCGAAAAAGGCGACCATTTTCCTCCGTGGGGTTCCTTGTGGGCTCGTCGCCCGGCACTGTGAGAAAAATGTAAGGGAGTATGGGGTGATTTGTAACAGATTTCGGAATTCTCTGTACAAAATTAAGAACATTCTGCATATCGGTGTCAAACTTGTGCCAGTTGAGCAGTCTGGCCCTTCATCTAGACTGTGCAGCTCCATTGGATCAATCTGGAGTCCGTAATCTCTGAAATCTAAGACGTTTTCCAAACCCTTGCATGCTGTTACGAATCGCCCCTGCATGGGGTGATTTGTAACAGCCATGGGGCTTTTCATAACATCCTACACATTAAACTAGGGGTACGCGCCGTTTAGTTAGGGCGCGTAGTAGGCGAGCGATGCGTCTGAACACATTCTTATAGGAGATGGCAAAGATTGGAGAATAAGGCCAACACAGTGTCTTCCGTAACGAAAGGGCCGGAATTAATGTCATTTTCGTGATTATCTTACTGAAAACTGCAGGAAACTATGTAAAACTCGACTTCAAAATTTTGGTCCGAAATTGGTAAATATTTGGAAAAGTAAAGGTCTGGGATGAAGTTGGAAGTCATTTTCGTGATCAGTACACCAAACACTGCAGGAAACTGTGAAAAACTCGACTATAGAATTTTGGTCCGAAAATGGTAAATATTTGGAAAAGTAAAGGTCTGGGATGAAATTGGAAGTCATTTTCGTGATCGGCACACCAAAAACTGCAGGAAACTATGTAAAACTCGACTTGAAAATTTTGGTCCGAAATTGGTAAATTTTGGGAAAAGTAAAGGTCTGGGATGAAATTGGAAGTCATTTTCGTGATCAGCACACCAAAAACTGCAGGAAACTATGTAAAACTCGACTTAAAAATTTTGCTCCGAAATTGGTAATTTTTGGGAAAAGTAAAGGGCTGGGATGAAATTGGAAGTCATTTTCGTGATCAGCGCACCAAAAAACTGCAGGAAACTATGTAAAACTCGACTTAAAAAATTTGGTCCGAAATTGGTAAGTTTAGGGAAAAGTAAAGGTCTGGAGTGAAAATAAAAGTCATTTTTGTGATCAGCACACCAAATACTGCAGGAAACAATGACCACTGAGAAAATTCTGGTCCAAAAT